AAAAAAAATGGAGTAAAGGCAGTGATATCAACATGCAGTACTGTGCAAATAGGTCGTCCATTGGAATCCTTAAATTCTGGGCAAAGACTTGGTCTGCAGCTTAGGTGTACATGCTCCGTCCGTGTCCCGGTGTCCAACATTGACAGGACTGCAGTTCAAGCCTGCTGCTAGAAGTGAATCAGTTTAACAAATTTACAACACTGATGTTGACTGTTAAAGAGAGGAAAATCCCAAGTACCAAACAAGTCCATCCAATGCACAGAGTACAAATTCCTTTTTTCAACAAAAAGTAGAAAAATCAAAAATACTCCCAAATGGGATTCTTGATGGCACTAAGAGTTAACACATTTCAGAGTTGTCAAAATGTAGTGAAAAATCCTCCAGACTGTACAACAAATGGAGAACGATTTCACTGTTAACTTTTGACGGGGTTTGTTTGTTTTGTTTTGTTTTTTTCCAAACTTCATTCTTGGGGTCAGCCTGCCCAGACCTTCACTCCATGTCCTCATTTACTGGTTCGTCTTCATAATCTCTGTCGTGGTCAAAATCTGGACTGTGGTTGGCTGTGGTCACTAAGGATAGAGGCCCTTCCGCTTCCTCTGGATCCAAGGGCTCTTCTTTGACATGTACAGGATGCCTGGAAGAAGAAGAGAAGGGTCAAGGAACTCCCCAACACAATGCAAGTCTGGGGGCTTCCGTGGGCAACATGGAACCCCACCTGCTAAAACTGGAAGGCCCAAGTCACAGTCACCTGCCGCAAGTGGCTACTTAAAGCCAAATTAATTAAAACGTAAAATCCGGCTTCCCAACGGCGCTAGCCACATTTCAGTTGCTCAGAGGCCTTACGTAAATATTGGCTAACCATAGGGGGCAGTGTAGAGACAACTTTTCCAATGTCAAGGCAAACTTCCATGGGGTGATGCTATTCGGGAAGAACTCAATGCCCAATGAAAGGAACTCTCTAGACAGAAGAGGCCTCTCTGGCATGGCGGTGCTTTTCACATTGGGTTGTGTTGCCTCTGAATGGTCTGGTGCCCCTGTTAACATGCAGCGTGATTCAGAGGCTCCGGGACCTGAGACTCTACACCTCTGTAACAAGCTCTCGGGTGATGCGGATGGTCCCAGATCCACACTCTGTGAGTACCCGACAAGAGGCCCAGTGGTGGCATCCTGGATGGATGAATTCAAATCTTCAGATAATTACAAGAAATGAGAGTCTGTAATGCAACAATGGTTTGTGGGGACCACTGAGTGAGGGAGGCTGGGCTAATCATGGCTTGCTGTGTGTTCTGCTTTGCTAGTTAGCATGCAGAACCTGTGAAAGAACTCTCCAGAGGACGACCCCAAGCGAGGTTCTATCATTAATCAACTTCAAGCAAACACAGCAAAGAGACACCATGATACATGCTTGAAACTCTAAATTAATGCATATTTTTACAAACTGTCAATAAGGCAAGAAAAGCCCTGCCAGGAAACACAAACGGAGAGGCAAAGGCGCGCTCCACACAACAGTATGATAAGAAAGCCGAGCCCCAATCAGAATAATAACGCTGTCAGCTGTAAACAAGGCCAAACATGAGGCCTGGCTGGTAGCGGCCGCCCGGCTGCTCAGGGCCTCCATGAGATCTGCCAACTTTCTCATTAGGGATCAGCACATGGTTCACTCAGAGGGGACTGCGGGGCGATCACACAAAACCTCTCTGATAACAATTGAGAAATGTTGTTTGTAAATCATATTTACAACCAGGCCTTTACAAAATACAAATTACTTTTTGTTGCAGGCCTTCTGATATGTGTAAGAACCATCCACGTTTAAAACAAAACAACTGGTCCCATCACTGGGGCAGGTGGCAGAAGGGTGTGCTTTTTAAAACTGACATTAGCAAGTATTAGTAATAAGAGGTGGTGCTTAGGATGGTTGGCTTCCTAAATAATTGATGGTGTCTGCAAACCCCAAGGGCCCCTTGAACCATTGAAAAACAAACACAGGAGTGCTGTGGACTGCCCTGTAAGACAGGAACCTTCAGAAAACCAACTGACTCTAAAATTAGCACACAGTGGAGAGAGTTTAGGGGACGTAGATGTCAGGATAAATAGATTTTAAAAAATAATCATGCCTGTATTCATAAAACAAAAAAAACAAAAAAAAAAAACAAAAAGCCCCAAACCAAAACCAACAACTATTAGCAAAACAGAAGGTAGCCAAGTTGCATTGCAGTACATTTTACATGTGGTTCTCCGATTATTTGTAAGGCTTTTACTGGTCCTATTTATCCGTGTTTCTGTAGTAAGACACAGGACTGGCTACATAATTTGTGGAGCCCCCTACTATGTGTACAAGGAGCTCTGGTAGCATAGTGGTTACGAGTCGGGCTGTGAACCGCAAGGTCAGCAGTTCGAAACTGCCAGCTGTTCCACGGGAGAGAGATGAGGCTTTCTACTCCCGTAAAGATTTACAGCCTCGGAAACCCTGTGCAGGGACCAACTCCACGGCACACAAGACATGAGAATGAAGGGCTCCCTGTTCAAGACTGCAACAGCAAAGCCTTAAACCAAGGCTGTTGGTTGTTGGTGCTGAGTTGAGTTTGAATTATAGCGACCCTGTATAGGTTTTTCCAAGGCGGTATATATTTACGGGCGCAGAAAGCTTCATCCTTCTCCCATGAAGTGGATGGTGAGCTCAAACCACCCACCTTGTGGTTCGCAGTCCAGTGCTTATCCTACAGAGCCACCGCACTCCCTAAATCAAGGGTGGGACTTTAATAACCATGGAACATACTTGTGTTTTGAGGTGCAGCCCTGGTAAGACAGCATACGTTCTTTGGGGAAGAACTGGGTATAATAATAATGAGTATTACGCCGTTCAAACCAGAAAACCCAATCAGTAGACCATTTGTGTGTGTGTGCTGATCCCCTTTTACTTGGTGCCATGTTTGTACATATTGTAAACACAGCAGGAATGTTGTTGAGGTTAGCTGGTGTTGAATCACTCTTTTTTATTTTGCTGCTTTTACAATGATGCTTTACATAGTTCTGCATGTGATTTCATGGTGTTGATCTAAGTTGTTGTTAGATGCCATTAAGCTGTTAGCGTTGGTTCTGACTCACAGTGACCCCATGAACCAAACCACCGCCCAGCCCTGCACCACCATCCTCACAGTTGTTGCTAAGTCTGAACGCACTGTGACAGCCACCGTGTTGAGGAACTTGCTCTTAATAATGGGTATTTTGTGGTTGTCATCCCCACTTTATTTATATAATACAGTGCTCATCTGTACCCATTAATCTTCCTACTTCTGTTGATTTACCTCTTTTGGATAAATTTTTGAGAATGGAATTGTTGGAGCAAAGGCCAAAACAGCTTTATGGTTCTTATGATTTATTGAGGTATTAATTTCTAAAGGGGCAATAACAATTTAGATTCAACCTCATGAGCACTTAGTATTATCCTTTAAACATAGTGCGTTGCTTACCGGGTATAATGTCAACTCAGGTTGTGTTCAGCTGCTCTTCTTGGATTACTGACAAAGGTGAACAATTGTTTGTAGTTTCATAGTTTCACTGGTGAAAATTCGTAGCTAGAAGATCAGCTTTATCATCACTGATCATACGGTTCTGTTGGTTGGTGGTTGCTGAGTAGGAATTGGTCTGGTTTACTTAGCCATGTATATTGAGATTTAAATGTGGCCTGGCAACATTTTCCCACTTTCCTTCTCTGTAACTATCTGATCTAGTAATCTTTTCACATAAACAAGCTCGAATTTGATGATCTAAGCTGAATGACATCTTTGGGACTAGATGTGGGAGGAAGACCATAAGAAACTGAACAGTCTTTAAAGACGGAGACAAAATTCATTAAGGTGGTTTACGACCCACCGAGACACAGGTTCTGATTTGGTTGTGTCTGGGGGGCTGGATCCCAGTATTAAATGACTAGCTCTGTTGTGACAGAAGTCCTGTAGATAAACACTGGACTGCTAACGGAAACGTTGGCGGTTCAAACCCACCAGCCGCTCCTTGGAAACGTATGTTGTTAAGTGCCGTCGAGTCGGTTCCGGCCCATAGCGACCCTGTACAGGGTTTAAGAGGCTGTAAATCTTTATGGGAGCAAGCAGAAAGCTTCATCTTTCTCTCGCGGAGCAGCTGGTAGTTTCGAACTACTGACCTTAAGGTTCACAGCGTGATTCGTAACCACTACGCTACCAGAGCTCTTCCGCCGACTCATGGTGACCCTGCAATAGGGTTTCCAAGCAGCAGCTGGTGGGTTTGAACTGACGACCTTGTGCTCCCAGGTCCAGTGCTCATTGCTACAGTATCACACACAGGGTCGATATGAGTCAGAACTGACTCAACGGCACCTAACAACAATACATTGTGTGAAAACTCTCAAAAAGCCGAGCAGGTCTCATTCTGAGACTTCGGATTTCATTTTTTTCTCTGGAGTTTTCCAATTTTAGGACGTTTCTTGGGTCTAACAGAGTTCCACCACCTCCTTTCCAAAGGAGTCTGAGCAAGAGTGGCTGAAGCCTCCGATGCTTCAGAGAATCCAACAGCTCAGAGGTTTTCCACACAAGATACATTTCAGATAAGATGCAAATTATGTGCGGTCCCACGCTGCAGGCACACTACCGTGTCTCTGCGCGTGTTGGAGGTGCGTGCCTTTCCTTGTGGACCATCACCCCGCTTCCCCCACCCCACCCCCGTTCTCTCCATCTCCCACTTCCAAACGGACTGCAGAACCACACATTTCCCTTCTCCTTACATCTCAGTAATTCCTTTGTTTAGCCACTCTGGGAACACAAGAGTTTTTAAATAAAGCTGACTAGTGTTTAAAGGCATTGTGATCTGGGGGTGTGCACAGCATGGCATATTTTCTTTGTAGCTCCTTGAGCTCCCATCAGGATAAAAGTGTAATGCCCCAGAGCTGTAATTATGTGACTACTTTCTAATGTTTCCAAAGAGAAAACTGAAATGTAGGGATATTGGAGAGTCACAAAAAGGCTAAGAATGAAGAGTTCTGTTTCAACAGCACATCTTAGCTGAGTTGCTTTCCTAACAAGGGCCTTTAAACCTTGCTGTAAAGTTTAAGGCTTGATTTATTCCAACAGACTGGAACAGTTAAAAAAAACAATTTGCATCATAGCTGGGTAATGCATATTGGACAAGAATGAAAAGTAGGTCATTATAGAATTCGCTTAATGGAAGTCTGAGGTCAGTACGAGTAACTGTCTGTGACACCGATAGCGGGCGCGCGGGCTTGCTGTTGACATATAATTACATTCGGCAAACAGCGTAAACTTGTGAGAGTTGGGCCACATACTGTCTGCGATTTTGATGTCTTTAAATAGGCTTTCGTGAGGAAATAGAAAGCAGCCGAAATCTAGGTTTCATTACAAAGTTTGATCCCGGCTGCAGAACATACTTTTGAGTAATATTGGGGTGAATTCAATGTTGTTCAACAAATACAGTCCAAGAGGCTTTATTTTGTACAGCAGAAGAATCATTAGCACCCGTCTATAACAGTTGCCCGAGAGGTTTTTAATCCTAATGTCTCTCTCTCTCTCTCTTTTCTCTTTCCTTTTTAAAAAAGGATCCTTTGTACTAAATAATAGGAATATACATCAACGAAACCTCTGAATTCTTACAGATTATGAGAAATATTATCTCTTCCATTTAATAACTTCAGACAGGTTTGCTCTAATGAGTATTTCTTGAAGAAGCTTATATGCCAATTTACATTTGCTCTGAACTTCCTCAGCATCTGAGTAAATACTGCTGTCATCACAGTGATTTAAAGATGAATATGAGTGTTCTAACAATCTCGTCAGAACCACCAGGATGCTTTACAAGGGATGAAATACGGGCAGCATCCGTGTGAAAGATAAACACATTCTTAAAATGTGAAGTAAATGCTAAGAGACTGTTCATAGAAATTAAAAATGATTCTTTCCATCTTTAAAGATCCTTTTCAAAGCACTTTGGGCATGAAATTCAAATGCAAGGAAATCAAATTTCAGATTCCCAGAACCCTTCAATTATACTGGCAGAGAGCATTTTTCTCTCTCTCTCTCTCTCTCTCGTTGTCATTAGATGCCAATTCATTTTGTTTCTAATTGCTACAGGTCATATTTTCCATTCCCATCACTCAAATTATCTTAAAATAGGACATCGGTCAGTAATTCAGAAAGAATGTGTAGACAAGGGGCCTATTCTAAGAACCAACAGAACTACAAATATTGAATTGGTTTCTTCCCTTTGAACGGGCAAGAGCTGGCGAGAAATGTGCCAAGCACCAGAGGCCCGGCCATTCCCTAGCATCCTCTGAGAGGACAACCATTTGGGATAATGCTTTCTCATTTTCCTCGATGACTGGAGATGATTTCTAGCCACACCAATTCCCTCCCATCACCCACCTGCAGGGAGATCCCAGTGGTGGCCCTTTTCTGACTTTGCTCAGCCCTGGTGCCGTTCACATTTAGACTGACCAGCCTTCCCCCGTCCCTTCATTCAGTTATACATGCGCTCATTATCCTGCCACTATAACGCTCCTATTAATTTTCCTTTAGATATTTTAAGAGCAATCTATAAATCACGCTGCCTTTCATTTATGCCATCGTTAACGCTTGGTAATAACATTGCAGCGCCCCACTTGCGGAGAAGCGAATCTCACAACCAAGTAAACAGCATCTCTCCTCCCTGCCACTCAATAGTACTGAGAGTCAAACAAACTATAGACTTTTTCACAGAGATGTAGATACATACTACCTTTAGGAGCAAACACGTGTCCCGTTTCAGTGCTGTGTGCACTTGTATGGCTGGAGTATGGGAAAGTTAGAGAGTCCTTTTATACGCTAACCGAGCCAAACAAACATTTGCAGAAGCACAAAACTTCTACGGGGATTCTAAGAAACCAGGAATTAGAATTAGTAAAGGTGTAAAAACTGCCAGGGAACGGCCTGTGTGTCTACCTCAAGCAGGGAGTCTGGGCCTGAAAGCAGAGATCCTCTGGAGGGGCAGTAAGTACTCACATGGCTTGCATAGGGGACCGGCCTGGACTACTGTCACTCTCGTTGCTGTTGGTATGTTCCATGACGCCGTTCAGTTCTTCCCGTATGGCATTGGCTAGGTTGCCCAGAGTGGGATTTCCCATGGAAGCGGTAGTGTATAGAGGTATACTGTTCTCAGCCATAGAAGCCTGCCATCAATCAAGAGAATATTGATGAAGACATATGGTTTGCATAGACATTATGGGTATAGGCAATAATCTCCACTTTAAGTGAATTGTAGTATGGTTGGCAAATACACGTGTGTACTGGTTGTATAGGAAGACTCGCAGTACATGTTCCAAGCTTGGTTTTGAAGAGCTAAGCTGGGGGGACCTGGAATGAGAAAGAACTCAGTTTGGCCCTTCTGGGCAGTCACATGGTTTAGGTGAGGCTATATAATATGAGATTTAAGTCTGGTGCCTTTTTTTTTTTTTTCCCCAAGAGGAACTGAATATTTCCAGATCAAAGTGAAATATAATGGGATTTTCATTTCTTTATCCATTCTGATGACTCTGCTATTGGATATTAGAGATTTGATCAGATTACTCTGGCGGCACAGCTGAAAACTTATAAGAACTTCCATAAACATTTACCTCTTAGATCCTATAGCAAAAGAAGTGATTATAGGCTCAGAATCAAGTTTTACCTTCCCCCCACCTCCTTTCTGTTTTAATGGGTTTTGAATCTGTTTAGTGTAGTTAGTGTTGATAACTGGTTGAAGGTCTCGCCATGCCATCTTTCAGACTCAGTCTAATGCCCTGAAATTTCAGGACTGAAGAAAGCGAGTCCCTGGCCAAAAGAAAGTCTAAAATCAGATTTATTTTTGGTCTTTCAGAATGTCCCTATTAAAGTTGACAAAGTCACTGTAAATGAATGTCAGCTATAAAGTGTGAAAATGGACTAAGGGAAGGAGAAAGACACCTTAAACTCGATGGTGGTGTATTATTCACTGCCAGTCCTAAATAGCTCTTGACTAAGTTGGCCACCCACTCTGAGATGCAGACAACAGTCCAATGTATCAGTGGATTCAAGATGCCACATTTGCTTCATTTGGGTAGCAATGATGACCCACCAGTGCCTTTTCATTTTGTGAAAGAGGACAGACTTTCAAAAACTGGCAGCTGTGATTAGAGCAAGATTTATCAAAACTGTCCTCTGGCAGACTACACTTTGCCTGGTTTTCCATCTAACGAGAAGAAAGTACAATCACAAGACAATCTGGCATGGCAACTTCAATTGGGCAGTCAGACAAGAGTCCAAAATATTCTAGAAATCCTGGCTCTGAAGTAAAAAACAAAAGCCCAAACTGAAGATTGAAAGGTTGCCCTGCTAGGCTGCAGGGATCTACCTGCTGTAACAAACAGGTGCAGTCTTTCTCATAGAAACAAAACCCGACGCCAGAAATGCCTTGTAGATAGAGCTCTACCAGTCCCGTGCTGGAAGATCTATGCATACTCGCCTAAAATGCAACACTGGGTAATGAACTAGTTCCAAGTCAGGCTGTCTGCTAGTCCACTAGTTTTCCTTCCTTTCAATTCTGAATTTGTGTATTTGCCTTCTTGTAACTAGTAGAAAAACAATTTAATTTCCAAATGTGGTGAGCTCATTTTGACAAACGGCAATTCTGAGCATTCCCAGTTTGTTAGATATTTGCATTAAATGGCACTCCACCCTTACCCGCTGGTGTGACGCTGTGACTTAATGCACCAGACTGTAGAGCAGTTTGAACTGCAAGGTCGGTGGTTCAAGCTCACCAGCCGCTCCTCGAAAACCCCATACAGGGTCGCTCGCTATGGGTCGGGATCGACTCGACAGCACTTCACAACCCTTGCCCCCCATCCCTTATAAATGAAATAAAGCCGTTTTCTTTCTCTTCTTCTGGCAGAACAAGGAACAAAAGCAGTGCTGAAATTACTGTATGTGTACACTGCCACTGGCCAAGCATCTGAACTGCCTGTATTTGAGAGAACACCGTGGTCCGGCCTTTCCCAGTCATGAAGTTCTGCTAGGATGATCACAAGCTGAGCTCTCACAAGGTAAGAATGTGGGCAAAAATGGGACCACCTCTAGCTAGTCTGGTATTCTAGGAGGTTCCCAAGATAAAAACTGAGCTACAAGTCAACACCAGTAACAAAACCGGAGATGGAAAGACAAACTCTGAAACATGCATAAGAATAGGCCCTTGTCAACATGCTTCATTGCTCAAAGAGCTGAAATCCAGCTGGAAGATGCAGGGTGAATTTCACCATAGGTAGCTGACCATGTGTATTGTTGTTAAGTGCCGTCGAGTTGGTTCCGACCCATAGCGACTCTGTACAGGGTTTCCGAGGGTGTAAATCTTTCTCCTACGGAGCGGCTGGTAGTTTCGAACCTCTGACCTTAAGGTTCGCAGCCCGATTCGTAACCACTACGCTACCATGTGTATAGTCCCAGGCAAACCAGGATAAGCAGCTGCCTGTACAATTGTCTTGATTCTCAAAGTGTTCTAGGTCTAAGTCATTTCTGATAGGGACAGAATCACAAAACGTGGCCTGAGGCTCTTCAGTCACAGTGGTGGACAATATGTAGGAAAATTCCATTCATCTTGAATAAAATGATTGGAATTTTTCCAGGAGCATTTTGAAGACCCCTTATATTAACACTGATCCATAAAGATTTGTTGTTAAGTGCTGACGAGTTGGTTCCAGCAAGTCTTATCTTCTTCCGGCGGCAGAGCAGATAACAGACCTTGGTTTGAAGTCCAGTGGTCATACTACACCCACTGGAGAAGTTATACCCTCTAATACATGGGGAGTCGCCCTGAGTTCGATCTGGCTCGACAGCAGCAGGCTTGGTTTTCAGGTTTTACACACTAACCAGAGAGCTGTCACCGTCGAGTTAATGCCTACCTGATGTAGAGGAGTCCTAAGCTCCAGAGTGGGCACAGAGTGGTTCTTAACATTGTAGATGATGTTCACTCAGAGGCAGTAAATAGCTTTTATAATGGACTAAATTATAGAAATGTCATGTGGTGCTGTGGGTTAATGCGCTGGACTGCAAAGTTGGTTTGAACCGCAAGATCAGCAGTTCGAGCTCATCAGTCACTCCACAGAAACCCTGTCTATACAGGATGGCTATGGGTTGGAACCGACTGGACAGCATTCGTAACATTATATAAATAGTCCTGTAACGTCTTAGAGCGGAGTCGTAAGGTAGTGTAGTGGTCACAACCCAGGCTTCTAAACTCAAGGTCAGCAGTTAGAAACTATCACAGCCATTCTGCGGGACAAAGTTGAGGCTTTCTGCTCCTGTAAGGATTTACGGTCTCAGAAACCATATGTAGGCTCACTGTAAGTGCAAACCAACTCCCCGGCACACTACCACCACTGAGTTGGTTCCGACTCATACAGCGTCGTGAGGTCAGCAGTTCAAACTCACCAGCTGCTTTTCAAGAGATAGCTGAGGCTTTCTGCTCCCCGTAAAGATTCAGCGAAGCCCTGTATAGGATCGCTATGAGTCACAACTAACTCGATGCCAGTGGTCTGTGAACATTATGAGGCTTCCTGTCAAACTGGATCCTTTGACATAATGAAAAGCAGGTGCTTAAGTTACCGGGCAGAGTCTGTAAGTACCACGGCTCCCAGAGCGTTAGCCACGTCGAGGTCTTCTGGGGGGATGGGCAGTCTATAAATATGAAGCTTTACAGTTACCCTTAGTTACTCACTTTTTTAGAACATAATGCAATCTGTCCCAAGTCCCATGTTTTATTTCTGTAGTAGATTCTGCTGTCCTATTTTATATGTTGTATATCATCCATTATGTTGCTCTAGGATTTTTTTTTTTTTTTTAATAAGGAGATTGTTCCACTATTATTTTTACTTGTCTTGAAAAATGGGTGATCATGGGAAGGAAGGTCTGCTGGCAGAATGTTTAATGTGCTCACAGCAAGATGTCTTAGGGTATTGTCGACTGACGCAGGGTTCAAATTCTCTGTGGTCATAAAATGTTCTTGAAAAACTGCTGGATAAAAGCTCTAGGAAATGAGAAAGGGTGTAGAGCTGTAAGCACTGGACCTCAGAAGGTTGGCGGCTCAAACTCACCAGCTCCTCGGAAACCGGACATAGGGTCACTGTGAGTTGGAAGTGAGTCCACAGCACTGGAGCTCACTAACAGAAATCAGTCACATTACTAAGAGGATAGAGGAACCGTGTCTTGGCTTTTTTTCCCTTCTTCTCACTTTCCTCTTTTCCTCCTCATGAATGTAAAATGTGCTTATAATCTTAATACTATTCCAGATAGATGAGCCTTTAAATTCACACTTCACAAGACTCCAGGGAAAGTAAGTTACTAATGAGCAGTATTTACCGTGGCGGCATCTAAGCTTGCTTTCATTTGCTTTTCTAAAGTTACTGTGTCAACTACAGTAATTAAAAGAAACACAGAAACTTGTTTGTCCGATTAGATCCGAATCAGGCTAAAAATAAATAAATGATGACTGGAATGGTACATTCGGTGAACTTCACCTCAGAATGGTAACTGCTCAAAAGGCTTTATCATCCATTGCGGGGAGCCTAGAGTCTCCACCAAATGATCCCATCGGGGAGAGAATTTCGTGAGGGACAGAGTAAGTGCTTAATTAATACCAGAGCCCTGGGTTCATGAATACACAAAACCAGGCCGCGCTCTCCTCATCCTACCCTAGTCCCACACAGCAGTGTTCTGTGATTTTTTTTTTTTTTTCAAGGCCCTGTAAAGGGCCTTTCAAATACTTTCCCCTTATTTGCCACTTCAACCCACTGTGCCTCCAATGAAATTTCAATATTTACATTTCAATATTTACATTTATGTACTACAGCTGTCTGGAGCCACAAAGAACTAGTTTGGGAATAATACTGCCCCCTACATGGCCTAGAGTAAGGAGCTCTGGGAGCGGAGTGGTTACCAATCAGGCTGCGAACCACACGGTTAACAGTTTGAAACTACCAGCTGTTCCACGGTAGACAGATTTATAGCCATGGAAACCCTGTACAGGGTCGCTGTGCGTCGGAAACAACTCCACATAACAAGAAGTATGGAATTACAAATGACCAAGTTTTGGATTGTGAAGAGTTTGTTGTTGAAAGTGCCATCGAGTCGGTTCCGAGCCACAGTGACCCTGTGAGGAGCGGTTAGTGAGCTTGAATTGCCAACCTTGTAGTCCAGCGCTTTAGCCCACAGCGCCGCACACCAGTCTTCTGAGGCTCCCCTGGGTGAGTGTGAACCGCTAGCCTTTAGGCAAGTTGTTAGGAATGTAACCGTGTAAGCCACCTAGGGACTTAGAAGATGCCATTTACATGCTTAACAGTAACTAGTAGAGCATGCTAGATGCCAGGCCTGCTAACTCCTCCTTGGGAGGTAACTCACTCCCCCTGCTCCATGCCAGTGTCTTCATTCCCCAGTAATGTTGATTATGTAACGAATGCGTGGTGTGTGTCAAGAGGAAACAAACATTCTGTGTGCTGATTATGTAATCTTGAGCAATCTGCTCAAAACCGAAAGGTTGTTCTGAAACACCTCTATCTGCTAAACCAAAACAGTTGACTTTTCTGAGGCGGACCAAACCCAGATCCACCAAACAAAAGGGAGATGTGAAAATGGGCTTTTAAAAGAAGAAGAAATAGAAAGCTCTGCTTTCTCTTTAAACCCATGAACAATAGAAGGTCATGTGACACATTAATAGCCGTGCTAGAGTAATTACACTTGTGGTATTTTTGCCTCAAGTGAAATTCTGAAATAAGAGGATGGAAATTATGATACTGCTGATAAATATTAATAAGTGAACTTTTAATTTTTTTGCCACAATATTCAAAATGCTAAGCATCCTGTAATGCTGAAGCAGCCCGATGTGTTTGCCTCCAGGGAGTACGATGCTTTGTGCACTTAAGAAAAAAGTTTAACGGAATTAAAATTTAATATCTAATTAGAGCGAGGCTAATATATTTTGAAATGAGTGGGGGAAGACACGCGCCTCTGTTGCATATTCGGAATGGCCATTAATCTTACCTGTAAAGCGGCATTTAGAGGTGTGCAGTAGGCGTGGCTGCTCTGCATGTTTTTAATAAGGGAAGGGTTACTGCATAAGAAGAGAAAGATAAAAATTCAAAGTTAAACACAATCAACTCCTGAGCTCTTAGCTAACTTTTCTTTCAAAGCTTGCTGGTATCCTACCTTCTGAATCAGAAATTTGCACCCCACCCTGCCCGCCCCCACCCCCCACTGACTAACCCAAAGAAAAGCATCTCTATACTGCCTTATAGGGTTGGGATGTGCTTATTAGCACCTCTAGGAATAGACCTTGCCACTGGAGGTAAGCGGGGCGTACAATTCTGGCTCACAGCAGGCTGGGGCACTGAATTTGTATCCTGAGAAACTTTCAGAGTTGCTCTAATGCAGAAAGAGAAGCAGCAAGCCTGGGGTACTGTGAGGGGGAGGGGAGGAGGACCACGAGACTGATCCGCAGGGTTTCCTGGGAGTCCGCGGGAAGAATCTGGGCTCTTAGGCAACTTCATGATTCAAGCCCTCGAAGGGCTACGCGGGAGGGAGAGCAGGCTGGCAGCGGAGGAAGACCTTGGAGGCCCCTCGGTGGGTGAGATGGCGAGGGACATTCTTAGGTAACACAGAAGGCTGCGCTTCAGTCCTTCTTATAGAATCAAGTACGGGAGGGGTATGAGGAATATTTGATGCTGTCTCCGGTAACTAACTAAATGAAGGCAACATACTGTCTAGACCAGAAAGAGACTAATCATAGAGGAGACACACAAGGAAGGAGTGGCTTCCAGTAGGAAATTACCTCCACTTATTGGTGGCCTTTACAGGAAGTGCAACACACGGTTATTAATTTCTTTCCTAGCGTTGAAGCATTTTAATCATCCCTTTCATTACACTTACATTATTATGCTGAGTGAGCAAATAAGACGAAATTAACCCCACTAAATGCACATTCTAACTTCATTTAGAGATTCCTTTTCACTTGGGGGAATTATGGGTCACGCAAAAGTGTTGAGTTTTAGGGAACCTGTAAGCTGCTCAATCGAGATACCACCAATAGTTTGCATTAAAGACGTCAAAAAAGCATTACTCAAGGCACTGGTTTTCCAAAGAGAAACGAGAGAATTACAGGTACAAATCACACAGTTGAGTTCCATTGCAGAAAGCCGTGGCACTGCTAAGTGGTGAGATAGATGCAAAACCACATGGGATGAGTCAACCATGCAAAGCCAAAGCAACAGCAGAAACAAAAAAACAAAAGCAAGTAAAGGCTCTTACTGTGTTACAAGCTCGTCAAAGTTTTCATCGGGGCAGTATTTGCGAGGACGGCCTCGTTGAATATGGCGGCCACGTTTAAACTCTTCATCATCAACTGTCCAAAAGGACCCAAACTCATCCTCTACTCTGATAAAGCACTTATGCAGTGAGAGGTTGGTGCGAATGGCACCCTGGGATAGGAGCAGCAGCAAAGGAGATGAAGTGGCAACAAAAGGAGACGGGGTTGGGGGCAGAACAGACATCCAATACAGGGAACAGGAAAAAGAAAATAAAATGCAATAAGCATAAGCAATGGTTTGTGAGGGTTAATATGCATTGCCACCTAAAAGCTACTAGCATGTGATGCAACACAGACCAGCAAGCAGGGCAGGGGGACTGGTGGGCATACAAAACAAGAGGGATGAAATGCTTTTTTGCTTCCCTTAATTGAGACAACGTGAAACCAGTTCGTTGGTCTAACACCATCTAGCAGCCAAAAGCCTCTATGTTATACTTGTTAGCACAATTCAAGCTAGGCTAAGAAGTTCAAACATGGTGGACGTACCCACTGATCTTTTGTGGCCTTCGTTTTTGGAATTCTACTTCATCCACTGTCCATACTGCCCCTTTAACGTTTTCTACTCGCACAAAACACTTGTGAAGGCTAAGATTATGACGCACTGCATTCTGCAGCAAGTATAAAAGAGAAAACATTATATTTTCTATAAGGAAAGTCTCCACAAACAGCAGTCAATTCAGCCTAACAGTCCACATTTGTAAAACCATCCCCCAAAAGCTGTTATCTGCCACCTTCTTCTGGTGGCTAAAGGTGTCTTTTCCCAAAGCAAACTCTATAAAAACCAAAATTATGAATTGTACTTTAGTCTCTAGTCATAACTAACTGAAAGATTGTGGTTTTCAATATGCATACACGTCCAAAATAGGTTTCACAGTACAAAACCAGACCTACTGTTAATGACTTCAAAATCAGGCAACATATACAGCATAAAACTGCCTCCCCCTCTCTAAGCTTACAAAAATTGGGTAACGAAGCAAAGTATGGTAAATGATGACTCACTTTACAGTATTAAATCCGGTTTTGTTCCTGAAAATTTCTGACTTTAAAACCTTTTATAGTTTTCTCTGAGTCACAAGTCATTTTAGTTTTCATTTTTATCATTGAGAGTCTCACCTGATGTACCTGAAGGACCAAGGAGTGGAATGACTCCTCACATTTCAGTCTCAATCAGTATCCATCACCCAGTTTTGTCTTTCTTACCTCTCCGAATATATACATATATCAAAGTTCGCCCTTACTCTACTGGCCAAGTACCTTAATTGAGTAAATGCCAAAGGCACACATAGGTAGGCCTCTCAATGGCAAAATGATGCTATTCCTGCAGCTGATACTTCTATAGATACATTTCTCTCTTACAGTTGAACGTCACTTCTGGTCATTTGTAAGCTGAAATCTCTGACATCTACCATCTATCAGAAAGGAGGCTGTCAACTTAAAGGTGAGGAACTTTTTTTAACTTCTCATCTTCGCTTTGAATTTCAGGAAAATTCACAACCCTTAATGGGTATAGTAATAAACAGGGCTTCATTTCTTTACTTCTCCTGGTTGAGCTGACATGTGGGTATTCCAAATAGATTTGTCTCACTTACTGAAAATATCTCTTGAAATACCAAATAAGCAGGTCACTCCACTGGGGCACAAGAAGTTGATGTACACATCACCCCTCACATACCTTGGTAATGCGGCATTTGCTCAAACCTTTTACACTACCATCTGTAACACTCCCTCACTAAGTTATCCTGAAAAGGGGGCCCATCTTGAGGGTGTTTCTTACATTGGGTGACACTGGGGAGGTTTCAAGTTGAATAAGGGTGGCTTCTGTTCTCCAACACAGAATAACTAGGAGGTAGTGGGAAATTTGGAGTCCGGTGTGGCGCTATAGGATGAGCACTGGACTGCTAACTACAAGGTCGGCAGTTCAAACCCACCATGTGCTCCTTGAAAACCCTATGCAGGGTCACTATGAGTAGAAACTAACTAGACGGCACTCCACAACACCAGTGGGACATATTACTGCGTGGGGGACTGCTCACAAGGAGAATCAACAGCATTAATTCCGAAGAGTGTTTCAGCGATGGTAGCATAACGGGGCTACATTAAACATGCCCAGGTGACTGTCAAAACCCATAATGACTCTTAAAACAACAAACATTCACATTTTAGTTAGAGGACCAAATTTCTTTGCCTCCAAACAAATTAGCCTGGCCTGGTAAATAAGCTTTTTAAAAAGTAGGGTCTGCAATGGTTTCCTAGTCCACCACCAAGGGGGTTAAGAAACCAACGTATGCAAATTTCCTTAGGGAAATCCAAACAGAGTATAAGTATATATGGATAGGAGACATAACTAGGAAAGAAATCAACATTTCTCATCATCCCAAGCATTGTCTGAGGTTTTCAAATGAATCAAGAGGGCTAGAATGAAACAGAAAACTCCTCCTCCTCCTGAGGAGCTGCCTGTACTGTGGTTTCCAAGAACGTACATCGAAGCATAAAGCAACTAAAAATCAAGACTTTTTCAAACGATGATTAAGCTCATCCCAGTCAGACCTTTAACTGGCCTTGTCATCTTGTGTCTATGATCACCGTTGTCAACAAGGCCATGTAAGCAAAATTATACTCATTTATGGGTGCTGGGATTGCAAGGTTGGGATTCAAAACACTCATGGCCAATGTCTACTATCTTTTTAATTTCTCTTTCACAAATGTTCTGAAGTCCCCTTATAAATATGAATGACACTTTTTAACCTACAGTGTGAAATGTCTGAAGATTTGAGCTTAAACATCCTATTAGTTTCCTATTTGTATGTTTTAAAATGTGATGTCTTATATTAAGAAGAAGAAAATGCCACCTTTATGTTTATGCCTCTGAATTTTGGAAAAGCATTCTTAATTAAAGAACCTTGGTATTTTTTCTCTCTGAAGTCAGGCTGGGGAAAAGCGGGTAACATTGTCCTCGTACATGCTCCTCAGCGGCCATGTACAACTTGGCAAAGCTGACGAGTTAATTCTAGGGTCATGTTCAAAATGCTGGGTTTTTTCACCTCCTATAAAAGCTTTAAGGAATTCACAAGAAAGGCATTCCTATCAAGAAAAACAAGTTCTCCTTGTATCCGATAATAAACTTCTATCCTTTTTAAAATACTGATGACGTGTATGATATCCTCAGAAGTTGTACTCTGCCTGTAAATTAGTAGAGATTTAAAAAATTCCAGGAACCCAAAAAATAAGTGGTAAGAAGGGAAATCCAACAACTTGCCAGGGCTAACTCTAATACAATAAATACTAACACAGTCTGTGAAGCACTGTTCAACTAGGCAAGTTGCTTCAGAATGGTCCTGGGTGTCGTTGAGGCCATCCAACATGGAGCTATGGAATTTGATCTGTTTTATAATTAATGATGTCATAATGATTAAACCTCATTAGGAAGCTCCTTTTTTTTTCTTCCTGGGTATTTATGGTTCTCTGAGGGATAATCTCTCAACCTAAAAACAACTCATTGAATATAGCACATTGTGTTTCTCCCTTAGTAACTTCCAGATGCAAGTACGACTTCTTCGAGCGCGCAGCTAAAATTCTCCACAAAATGGGTCCACAGGCTCTTCTCCAGCCAATGAAGAAAAGTGTCAAGTTTGATTATTTTTCCAAGACCCGTCTGCTATAAGAGCAAGTTAATCATGCATTTCTGAGAATACTGGCTGCGCTAACAGACCTACCAAAAGAATGAGTTCAGTGCAAGTGGTAGGATAACCTCAACATCTGGACAGTGGTGTCATCTCCTAGTCCCTACAAACTCTGACCAGAGCGAGAGCCGGTTTGACTGGCTGGCCTGTCTGATCCCAATGGAATGGCAGTTTCACAGGCACATTTCGGTGACATTACTACCACTGCCTCAATTAAATATTCCTACAGTTGAGTGTTATCAAAACAATATAAATGTGACTCCATGAAGGTATAACCACAGTATCATATCAAAAACAAATTCTGTTCTACATAAACAGGCCTCAGAGAGAACTTACCTTCCACGTGGCAGCATTGCGCCGGAAGTAAGCAAACATTCGTGTGAACCAGTTATAAATTTCGTTTAGTGTTAGCTGCTTTTCTGGAGATTCCAGAATGGCCTGTGAGACGCAAACAGTTATAACAGAAGAAGATCATTTATGACCAAATCGGCAGAATTGTCACCACACCGCGTCTTAAAAATATGAAATGACAGTGATTTCAGAGCTAGATCCTAAGAAAGGTTTTAAAAAACGATCTTAAGATGAATGATTGTATTTAAGAGTTCAGTAGCAAAATTCAAAATGGAATTATCTAATTGTTTTGAGTTTTTATTTCTGTTTCCGTACAGAAATATTAATTTATTAGGCATTCACAAAGCAGAATCAAAGAGAAATGCAAAACATTTCACTAGCTGATTAAAGCTCAGTAATTATTTAGAGCTCAGATTAATTCTAGGGATCAGAGATTACTGTAGCCTGTGATAATTGACTTGCCATCTTTAAACAGGCTCATTTTCACTGTTGTGTGAAATGAATTTCCTAATAATCACATCGTATTGTAATACTTAATCAAAAGCAATTATGTTATATATTGCAGTTTTAAAAAACCTTATAGAAAAGGTTTGAGCATGCTTGCATACTAAATGATTTTAAATCTGCTTCATCAATATAACACATCCCCATATACGCACGCCTTTGGATAGAATTTACTTACCTGCCTAATTAAAGATGCATATGTAAATGGTGGTCTAACTTCTGCGTTCTTATAAAACTCTTGGTTCTGCGCAATATCTGCTAAATAAGAATCATTGTCCTATTAATGAACGCTTCTGAAAAAGATGCTGGTCTACAAGACTTGGGTCTTTTAATTTGGCCCGAGGCAACACTGAAATGGATATCTACCTGAAGAAATGGGCACATTGTATTTGTCCGAGTACCGCCTGCGGATGGGTCCCACCGTGTGCATGCTGGTGGTGGTGATGACAGAGGGGCCTTGGGTGACAGGAGTGATGGGGGTCGTGGGGGTCGTTGGAGTATGAGGTAAGCTCTGTGGAGAAGCCTCCGATGTGGACTTGGAGAGCGTGACACTTGATACCAGGTTCAGCTGTGAGGACAAGAACAATGACATCTAAGCCCACCTTCAGAGACACAGAGCAACCAAAAAGGCATCTGAAATAAAGCCAGAATACTACAAGGGATGTCTGCTTAGCTTTACGTCCAGAAGTGGCTACATTTATCCACCGTGACCAGCTGCTGGCGAGTGGGCTCATGGTAGCCCCTTGGATGTCTGTAGAACTGTCCACTACATGGGGTTCTCACAAACACACTGCCACAGGCTTCTCTGTGGAAATGCCTCTAGATGGGCTTGAACTGCCTCCAATCTTTCGAGTAGCAGCGAACGGTGGTACTCCACTTGTACCACACCCAAGGGCTCAGATACATTTGTAATCAAGTGAAATACAAGATGAACTTCCATGTAAAAACAAGATATTTCGTATTAGAATGAAACACTTCTTGCACTAATCATCTCCTGCCTTTGGTAGAGGCACATTAAGTAGGTGTTTACAGACACAAAATGGGGTTACCTCGCTAAATGAGCTTGAAAATTCTTGGTCAACACATAGGTCTTTAGTCACAGCTCCTCACTGTCTTCAACTGCCCAATGTGCCTTATAAACCTCAGAGACGGAGATGAAGTTCTTGGAGTACCAGTGGAATCACATGCTTTAGGAAACATCAGTTGTAATACATCTAGCCTGTCAGACAGAACTTTCTGTAATGATGTGTTATCACAACCGAGCAACTATTATTAGTGAATTCTTGTGATATTTAAATACTGGATTCGAATTCATTAATTGTAAAAGAATATGTTGTTAAGTGCTGTCGAGTCGGCTCTGACCCATAGCGACCCTGTAACAGGGTTTTCCAAGGCTGTAAATCTCTTCGGGAGCAGAAAGCCTCATCTTTCTCCCGCAGAGCAGCTGGCAGTTTCAAACTGCTGACCTTAAGGTTCGCAGCCTGATTCGTAACCACTACGCATGAGAAATTTGGAACTGTCTGATTTTTTTCTTCTTCAGTTTTCGGTATTCAGTAATATGATACAATACTCTAATGTATGTGGTTGCCATTAGTGTTAAGTGTTGTCGAGTCAGTTTGGTTTTGACTCAAAACCACCCCGTGTAGGGTTTCTGAGGAGCAGCTGGTGGGTTTGAACTGCTGACGACCTTGTGGTTCACAGTCTAGTACTGATCTTGCAGCCCACACCAGGTAAGGAAGTAAACTGTATGTATATATTTGAAGTAGTAGAAAGGAAAACGAAGGAGTACTGTTTGTCTCCATCTACATACCTATCTTTCCTGTCTAGCCAGTTAGCTACTCTTTCATTTGTGTTGAACTCTTATTCTTATCAATAGACTTGTCCCCATTTTCAAAAACTGTTGGTACAGAAAAACTATTTTAAAGAACTTGGTTGTTTTCAATTTATACGCAAGTTGCTATTGAGATCCACAGTCATGTTGAAATCCAAGAAACTTCACAAAGGAGGTTTTGTTGGTGGTGGTGGTGACTTTTCTCAGACCTGATTTCAAATTACTTAACATGATAAATCTATTTCACAATTTCTCTAGTTTTAAGTACAAGGCATTATTTATGGAAGCTATTAAAAATGACACTGCCTTGTGATCATAATCAAAGAACATATGAAAAGAGGTTTGATTTGTTGAAAAGACTCAACCTTTACTCATTCTTTAGTACGGAACAAGGCCACGAGGAGCCTAATATGTTTAAGAGCATTCCATACAAAACAACAACATCAAAACAATGAGGATCAAGAAGGGATTTGAAAAACTATTGTGGAAAAATGTGATATATGGTACTGGAAAGTAATGCTGGGTTGAGAACTGTTAGTCAGGTTTTCCTTTTTATCATCAGCTGGAAATGTTGGCTCAGCAGACAAGAGACACCAGCAATGCCTGGAAATGGCAAATTATGGAAATGACAAGGCTCTTACAAATCCCCCTTCAAGAGAGGTTATGAGCTGCTTTCTCAACAGTGGTGGAGATCTGACTTCATGGCATATATATTTGCAAACTAAGTGCAAACTCAGGTTGGCAGCCCTGGAGAGGATCCGAGTGGAGAAGCCAAGGGCAAAGGGTTGGGGCACTGACCTCTTCGTTGCTTTGGATCTCTGGATCTTAATTACTGACCAAGTTCAGGGGCAGTATGTACAAGTATCAGCCCAAGCAAAAGGTCAAGGAAAGTTGTGCACATAGGGGTCATAACTCATAAATAAACGGCTTTCTGATGAGACTTAGCTAAGAGGCCATCCAAACGCTTTGGACAGCTGTGAATGCCATTTGTAAAAATCATGCTTCAAACCACCTGCCTCATTTAATTCTCAGACCACCACTAATAACTAACTTTACAGATATTTTTACAAAGAGATGCAAGAACGTGTCCATATTCACAACTTGAACCCAACGTCAAATACACACTTGTGTGGTTTAAAAATCTTTGTAGAATCATCTTCATATGCCCAGTGGCTGGAAAAATAAACACTAGTTTCATTTTCTTATCTGGTCATTTTTGGAAAGAATTCAGCGAAAGAGCTTTTATGCCTGCTTAAGAACGTGATACAAGAATTATCTCATGATCAAATATACGGCACATGACACTGAGGTGAAAAAACATGGAATCAAGTCCGCCAACTATTGTTCTCCAAGTGCTAACCGTAGCATGCACACACGGGGCACAGCAATCTTTAAGCCACCTTGAGGACAATGACCTCAACTTAACGGCCTTGGCTTTCTGAAAACCAAAAATGAGTATCATTATTATAAAGACAAACGTCCTGAAGAACTATGCATGCTAAGTCCCAGTTTTGTGACAAAAACCTCACTAAACCCACCAGGTTTTCACTCCACCTGCCCCAAATCAAAACTCGCACTGTTAGACCATCTACTCAGACACTGTCACGTAAGAATAGTAGCCAAGCCATGTAACACGGCAACGTGATGTCACCAGATACAAACAGAATATGACGATTGTACCTTAGAGAGAGTTAGCATTTGGACTGTCCTACCAAAAAAAAAAAAAAAAGCTACCGTGAAAAGAAAATCCCTCCAGGTGAGCACGACCCACGAAGACAGAGAACCAGGTAATATTTCCAGAGGCTTCTGAACATAGGTAGCAACTGGAAATGAAGCACGGAGCCAGAAAGCAGAGAGAGGGGCTTACCAGGCTTGACAAACGACACCGTGATTCACACCCACTGCTGGGCTGTCTTTAATAAGCCACAGAGGAAGCAGCCAATCTCAGCTAATTACCAGATAAAAATGTATTGTAAGGACTCTAATTAGGAGATGCGTATGGAGGTGATCTAATGATTAAATGCTGCATTCAAGTGACCCCACCATCAATGTGCAGTGGTGCAAGATGTCAACGGGATATTTTGTGGAAACAGTAATTTTATTTCGAGGAGGAGAGGCAGTAATATTTGTAATGATGGCTGTGAGGTAAACTAATTAAAAGACAGTTCTCCGAGAGGAAGAGTGTGGCTGAGAACAGCTGTGGCCATTCCAAAACCAAGTGCCAAGTCTCAATAGAGGAGCAGCAGTCAAGTGGAAAATTTCTGCCTGACCTCTGCACCTGGCTATTAATTTGCAGGAAAACTAATGACACATATACATATTCCCACAAAATTGTTCTAATTGCTAATTTGCCAAAGGAGCCCAGATTCCAAATTAAACCTGACTGTAGTTTGTGAGGGAAAGAAGAAAAGGTGTATTCTCCAAATAGAGGGTGCTGGGCCTCATGAAATCATGTGAAGGCTGAACCAACAAGTTAATGAAATGTCAACCTTGTCAAATGCTATACAAGTTTCTTAACTTTTACACATTTGTTTGACCATCACGTGTTTGTCTTAAGGAGAAGCCATTTTCAAGGGAGAAGGTCACACGGGAGAGATAAGAAGGAACCACGAGGAAGGATTCAAAACAGTCTTCTGTGCTCTAACCAAACCTGTTCACTTAATTCACATCTCTCTGGGAAGAAAAGGGACCCTCACTCCCCACTACACACACACACACCCCCCAAAAAAATTAATGACAGACTTGAGAATGTAAGAGTAAATCAGCAACAGTAGGGATTTTGCTGTAATCTTGAAATAGTCATCTTAATTGTAAACAATTAAATCTTAACATCATCATCAATTAAAAAATGAAGGCATATATGTATGCTTCATGGTTCTGATAGTAGTAAGGTTTTAAAAGACTCTTTTTTTTTTTTTTCCGGGGCATGGAGCAGGAAGGGATTGAGCTGGGAGGGTTTCTTTTCCTGATGGAAACCCTATTTTTCTTATTGTATTCATTTTCTATTTTAAAGAGTTGCTATGTTTAGAAAAGTTAGTAACACTGATTATTTTCTACATGGCAAGTTTCCATCATGGGATGATTTCAGCAAAAGATAGTCTCTTTAAGATTCTGGCCCAAAGTGGAATTCTTAAGTCACATAAGTTTGCTATATAGCATTTTATATTTTTAAGAAAATATTTTTAAGGGAAAAAAAAAAATGTGCCTTGAAATATCATCTTTTTCCCCCACTTCAGTTAGAGAAGTATAGTTTGGGTGGAAATCTGATCCACCCAAAACGATTACGAATTTATCAGCTGCCTAATGCCCCAGTTCATCCTTTCAACAACAGCAACAAAACTGAATCTGTGGTTTTTGAACAGTAACCTCCTCTCCCTTTTAGGGAAGATGAGTCACACACATTTTTAAAAAATAAACAAACCGCTGATGTAAACCCCAGACAGAAACAGACTTGTTGTAAGTATTCCCATAAGAACTCATTTTTGTTTTTGTTTGCGCTCTTGCCTCACATAAAAACAGATTCTGAGAACAAAAGGCAAACGTGAAACCAAAACACCGAGGAGGGACACAAGGGCATCCTCGGGACTTCATCTTCACAGAACTCGTTTTTCTGCTGCTGGTTTTACTGGCCAGAGCAGAACCCAAGACATGCTTCAACTGCATGTCATCTCTAGACATGAATCACTGGCGTTCAGAGGCTGCCATTCTGAGGCCAAAGGGACATTATTACCCGACTG